CCCGCGGTCCTCCCGCGCGCGGTCAGCCGTCTCGCACCCGGTGGAACCCGCCTCCCTCCGCACCCAGGGTCCCTCTTAGCCCGGCACTGCTCGGAGCAGGGACGACATCCCGCAACACGGCGCCGCACTCACCCGCCCGCCGAGCGCTGCAGCCAGAGGCCGGATGCGCCCGACCTTCCCGGAAACTTCGTGCTGCGGCGCGCGGCGGGAGCGCAGGTCAGAGTCGCCGGAACCCCGGGAACCCGGCGGGACGGCGCGCGTCCCCGAGGCTGGCGCTGCCTTGTCCCGAGTAGGTGTCGCTCAGATGAACAGTTTGATTCCTTAAAAAAGAAAAAGAAAGCAAAAGAAAGCCCTGCTCAGATGGTGATTTTCTTCAAGGCTAACCATTGCTCAGAATACCAGACTTGTCTCCAGTGATTAACCACGAACAAGTATAACAATTTTCACTTTCGGTTTTTAAAACGTGGTGGTTTTAGTTTTGTTTTGAGGATATCTATCCCAAAAGCATTCCCGAAGTTTTCAGTAACACTAATTTAGGACATGTTTTAAAAACCACTCTTGTGTGTATATATTACTGGACATGCAGTTGGAAACGTGGATTGACACCAAGTAAAGTCAAAGCGGAAATCTCTTTAGGTTGTAACTCTCGTTCTAATTTATTGGTCATTATGCCCTCAACCTACAGATTTTTACAGCCAGCACAAGGTCAGTTTTTCTGTGTCTTTGCAACATCCTATGGGCCTTGAAGTTAGGAAAGCTGTGGTGTTCGGCTGGTTTCTATGATTTATGTCCCTTGAAAGTTTTCTGTTAATCTTTTGTTTTGTTGCGAGGCTTGTAAATAAATACTTCACTAGGTGTGATCTTTTCCTTTGAACATAAAAACATCTGACTTATTTCAAGAACTGCAGTTTCTTCATTGTACACAAAGAACCACCCCACAGCTGCACTTGTTCATAAATAGAGAACAGCGAGGAAATGTATCAAAATAATTTCCAGGCATAAATTCTAGTTTATAGTGCTATATAATCATATATAATAATGGATATAGTGGTCTAAAATAACAGATTAACAAAAGTCAAATTCTTTCATATCAAGAATATTGATAGGAATCAATTTAAAGTGGTTTTTCTAACTGAAAAAAATAAAGTGGTGTGTGATAAGGACTTTTGTGCTCATTAGCTCAGTTAGGAAGCATAAAAACTCCATCTGTTGCAACTTGAGAATTACTTGTGCTTTACCTTAGAATTTTAAAGAGCATGAACTCCAGAGGTCTAGTTCAGCCTCATTTCTTCTTTTGTCTTATTTTTGGTTTTTTACTAGAAGACTGTAAGGAGCAGGACCATGACCAGAACAGGACTTATCTAATGTTGTCTCAGATCCTATTAAAGGACAATGTATGCAGGTAGTGGAAAAAGAAGTCCTTTTGGCCAAATACATCCTAAGGCTGAGGTATGTGTAACTGCCTGAGTTCAAATCAGGTTCAGATCCAGTACTCTACAAAGTGCTGGGATTCTAAAGATGAATAGTCAGCTCCTGGACTTATTATCATTAACAACCACAATTGCTAGCATCTACTGAGAACTCCTGGGCATTTTATAAACCTCTCTATTTTGCCAATAATAGAATGAGATATAGGTATTACCCACATTTGCAGATGAGGACACTAAGGCTTAAAGAGATGACCCCAAAGCAAGCAATTAACATATGATGACATTGATATCATATTTTACTCTTAACCATGAAATCAGTGTCTCTACATTGTGTTCTGTTGTACATAGAGAATTAGAAATTCTATGGGCAAATATGATTAAGAAATGCTGCAAACTGGATTCACTTTTGGAGATTCACAAATGCACATCAGCACATTAAGAGTTTTGAGTAGTAGTGCAAGAAAAATTAAAACACAGATTAAGAAGTTTAACTTTATTCAAACTAATTTGACTATCAAGTGCTTTTTTTCGTGGAGCAGCTACTAAAATCTTGAAGAATTTCAAATAGGGCAATTCGAGTAATGCTTTACTAATGATGGAGTTCAGGACATGCTACCCCAGCATGTGGCACCTTAGCGTATTGAGTATTTTAAGCTGAAGGAGTCTGGGAGAACAGTAGGTCATTCTGACCTTTCCGTCTATCACTACCCTTGTCTGAAACAGGTCGTAAAACCCTCCTGTAAGAGATGCTCTCCCTCTACCTGGAGGAAAGGAGCAATCTTACCTCCAAAGACAAATGGATGCTGAAAACAATTCAAACAAGCCTTGCTAAGTTTCCCCAGTATACTATACTCACCTCACACTCCTTAACATCACATTTCTCCACAATTGTCCACTATTCATCAAACCTAGCATAAAATACTCAGGACTAACTGTTTCTTTGGGTCTTCATTTCCTTATGAAGGCTTCTGAGTTACATAAAACATGTTAAATAAATTTGTATACTTTTCTCCTGTTAATCTGTCTTTGTCAGTTAAATTTTCAGACCCCGCCAGGACCCTAAGAAGATAAAGGAAAACTTTTTCCTACCCTACACTATATTATACTATTTCCTAACACACACTCAATAAATATATTGCACATGAGATGCCTTGGAGGTCTCATGCAAATCTACACTGCCATGATATGAGATGTATGTATGCTACACATTTATCTCCTCTACCAGATGGCAACGAAATCCTGCCAGACTTCCCTATAAATACACACACACACACACACACACACACACACACACGTGCACGCATGCACACAAGCGCGTGCACACATATACATCAGTGTTACATATAGTACAATGTATGCTATAAAGAACTGGGATATAAGTAGTAGCAAAACACAAAGGAGAGAGTAATTTCCTCTCCCTCAGGAGGTCAGGGAAAGATTCCTCCTCAGAAGAGGTGAAGATTGAGTTGATTCTTAAAGTTAGAGGAGGTGGACTGATTCAAAAGATCAGGTGAAAAATCCTAAAGGCATGAAACAACTTGGGAGAAATTAAGAGTTTAGTGAGTGTGCAAACCATAAGAAAATGACCTGAAACCCATTATATTATTGCTCTTCCTTTTAGAAAAGTCTTGGACACCAAGCTTACGCTGTCATTGCCGAGATTTGGGTGATCTAGTTTGTAGTTCCTCCTTGGAGAAATCAGAATACTCGGTGCCCAGCACTATAACATTATTCTCGTTTTCAAGAGGTTTGCAACTGGTATATACAAAAGTAAGGGGATGTTGCTAATGTTGTAGATCTTAAATGTTCTCACCACCAAAAAGAAATGTTAAGTATGTGATACGATGGAGATGTTAGCTAACACTATAATGGTAATCATTTTGCAATATGTAAGTGTATCAAATCAACAAATTGTACATCTTAAACTTACATGATGTTATATGTCAATTATATCTCAATAAATTTGGAAAATTAATAAAATAGTAGACAAGAGATTTTTTAAAAAGTAGAAGAAATAAGCACCGCATCTCTTACTCTCTATCAGGCAATCAATACTATATAGTTCAGAGCATGGTTTTGATGCCATATGTTGGTCTGAATAACAATTTCAAGTTACCGAAGTTTCCCAGCCTCGGTTTTTCTCATCTGTAAAATGGAGCTGTTGTGAATGAAATACTGCTATATGTCAAGGGCTGAGTACAGTGTCTTACTCATGATAAGAATTCAGTAAATGATAGTTGTTACCATCATACATTAACGAGACTTTTTATCCCATTTTTTCTCACACATTTCTTCTGCTTTGTCTTCTTACCTAGAGAAATACTTTGAAAACAAAGACATTTTTAAAATTTATTTTATGTCACTTATAGTTACAAGTACAGCGACTACACCTATAAATAAACACTTATTCTAACTAGTGGCTGGATACAAGGGTAAGAATCAAATACTCTGCGCCCAAAGTATAAGCTTTCACTTTAGTATATATGAATAAGTTCGTATAAGTGAACAAAATATTATGAAATAGATCAAACAGTTAGAAATACTTCATTCAAGTACTTCTTGAATCATGCCTAAGCCATTGATTTCTCATGTAAACATAACTGATCAGTCAGAAAATCCTGTTTCGTTAAAGTATTTAGAGAATGATGCTACTGTCTTTGAAAGTGCTAGAATAAGGACAATTAAGTGTTTTGTTCATGAACTGGGGGCTCAAAAATTAACATTGATCCTTAATATTTAAGCCTGTAAGATATAACCTTGATATTATATTAAGGAAAACATTTTAAGGAAATCTGAGAGTACTACTGTTGTTTCCTGCTTGGCTTGTCTAATCGCAAACTGAATATTGCTTCTGACAGAGCACTCTTGAGATAAAGTGATGATGAGAGAATAAACCCATTTGTTTGGTGGCTTAAACTTAAAATCAAAGGAGAGGAAAAGCTCAAAAAAACTTGAGATTCTCGGAATGCTTAAAGAGAATGTAGCCCTGTAATGTTGGAAAATCAAAATATTAAGTTCTGATTGTGTTATCACCAAAAATCTCAAATGAGAAAGAATAGGGCAAGTCATCCAAATAAATCAATGTAATTTCTAGGGAGCTCAGCTGCTAAGAGAACATGCATAAACATACTGAAAACTGCCAAAGAAAATATTAGAAGAAATTTATTTTGCTTGAATATGTTAGTTGTTGTTGTTGTTGTTGTTGTTGTTTAATTTGGAAATTTGTAGTTTGTTTTTACTGAGAGGCTGTGTGAGGAATTCTAGAAATAGCCAAAAAGCAAGATTTGGGTTAGTGCTTGAATAGGTTGTTTCTGATTATTTCCCTGATTTGAATAGTACTCTGCAAGAGGTGTTAAATTATTGCAACAAGAAAGTTCACCGATCTACTCAAAGTATTAAAAACATATCAGACAAAGAGCTCAATTTTTGTTCTAAGTTGTTTGTTTTCTAGTTGGTTTTAGTGAACCTAGTTATATGTAGTAACATAATTTCTACTAAGATATATCTTAGAACAGTATACGATTTCTGTTGATTTCCTTTGCAATGTGTGCCACAGTTACAAAAAAAGGAAAAATGTGTTTGTGTATGGAAAAGATGTCCTATAGATCAATGCTTCTCAAATTTTAATGTCCATACGAATCTTGTTGACATATGGATCCTGATTCCATAGGTTTAGAGTGGAGATTTTGCATCTCATACGTTGCTAGGTGATTCTGACCGGTGCTGGTCCTTGGACTATACTTTGAGTAGCAAGGCTGTAGGATAACCAGTTCACTAAAAGAGCAAAGAGTGACCATAAATGGTTATTCCAGCAGAAGGTACTGTGTGTACTGTGGCTCTCCCTGTCCTGGCTCAGTCTGGGAGCACAGAGCCCTCTACCTGTTTGCCAGGCTGGTGGATGGGTCCATGGATGGAAAGCAAGGCATTTCTAGGTGTCCATGGTAGAAAGGGCAGCAGCTGTTCTCTTTTTCATGCCAGGAGAGAACAATGGCTCCTTGTCTGTAGTTAGGCT